CTGTGCCTCCGTCCCCCCACAGCTCTCAGCCCTGGTCTCCTCCCCATGCTAGCATCTGTCCCCTGCTCTTTCTGTCATAACTGAGACAACCCCTCTCAGCTTGAATTCAACTTTCTGCTCTTTCTTCCTGTGACCAATGAGCCAGTAAGAGAATATTTCTTCTCTCTTAATTTCCAAGTCCTGGCTTTTTCCTAGATCTGATTGTGCCTGGTGTAAACTGAATATTCAAAAGATTTCGAGATCCAATTCTAAAGCATCTTTATGGAGTACTATATACAGCACTGTGCTGGTTTTATTTTCAGAAGGTTATCAGTTGGCCAGCTATATGTTACCCCGGTGATAGCAGAAGGCACCTGCTTGACACAAATGATATCTGCCAGATTTCAGTTTGCAAAGCCAAACGATGACCGGGCATGAGACAAATCCAAAGAGACAGTTACCAGAGATCTTCAACAAGGGAAAATAAGATATGTTTCCCTAGCCTGTTTTTTAAAAATACCTGAACAGTCTTGGCTGACATTTCCCAAAAGCAGCCATCAAAGGCAGACACTGCACACAGAATATTTTAGTCCAAAAACTGAAAAGACCAACAAAGTTATAAGCAGCTGATTCTCTCCTACCACGGAAGGCACGAGGCAATCATAAAAACAGGCAGCATCACGAGCTGACCCGGGTGGTAGTGAGCAGCAAACAAGAGAGGAGTTTGTGAAGTATGAACTTGCAACCCAAGATATTCCTGTAGGGCAAGGGCATTTTCATCTCCTGGAACAGCAGCAAATGGAATTCCTGTTGTGACTAACACTGTGCTGAGCCCAGGGAACATGCCACGGGGTATGGATATCTTCACGGTGTTTGCACAGTAATTTGGCTCCCTCTCTTAGGTGGTCTGCAGCACAGATAGGTCTCGAGCCTTGCCTACAGTGCAAATTTAGCCATTTGTATAAACTGTGTCTGGAGGATTCTTCTGGCATTCAGATTTATCCTCTGGTAAAAATTGCCAGGTAAGCAGGGCTCTTGATAGTGTAGTTCAAATCTCCATGTTAAGACCTATACATCCTACTTCCAGACTTAGTTCTTAGCTCAGCCAAATTCAGAAGCCAAAAAGTTTGATCCAAACTGAGCTATTTGCATAACCTGCAGAGGTATTCACACATAAGAGGTTTCTCTAGTAAGATGCTAACTGACAGCACTTCCAGTTGAACTTCCTTTTGAGGGCTTAGAGAACAGCTATAAAAGTGACGAAAGCTGAAAAATACAGGTTGGTTTTTTTTAGTAAAAGACTCCAGGAACTTCTTCATGAAGGCTATTAAAAAGAAGTTGAAGAAGGGGCTTGATCAGAGTCTTAGAGTACCAGTGCAACAAAGGAACACTAGCTCTTCAGGGTAGTAAAGCTGTGGCTAGTAGTTGCAGCCGAACAAACAAAAAAATCAGTATAGAAATATAATGATGTTTCTAAGGCAATGAATGTAATTAACCTTTTGGGAGAAAAAGGCTGTCATGAATTTTTTCCTCACTGGCACCTGTCAAGCCTAGATATCTTCCTGAGAGATACTCTTGAATTCAAAATTAATTCAGAGTGTGATAAATTTGAATCCAAAACACTCAGCTACCAGGATTTTGGTCACAACTTCTCACCACTGCTAACCATGGCTGCCAGTAAAGGTTAAAGGTGCAGATGTGTTTTGGCTCTACAGGTGCTTTAATCTTTGTTTTGCCTAACTTTATGCTGAGCAGAGCCACACAAATTAGCTGTGAGGGTACAGTTATGTACTGGTACTAGGCCCATACTGCGCCCCTCAAGTTGTTGTAGCTCACAGAACTGGCTGGCATAGACTGACTTCACAAGTTAAAACTGAGAAATCTAGGCCTAATGATCTTCTTATGAAGAAAACCAGTCAGATTTCCCATTTCCTTGCTTAAGCATCAACAGTCAATTGGGACGTGGTATGGACAGGACCCCTCCGTTGGAGCCAATAGCATTAACTTTCCCCCCCTCCCCTTAACACATTTCACCCAGTAGTTTCAAACCAGCATATTTTAGAGCAGTTAGGGACTCTTCATCACCATGTGACATGGTTCTACAAATCAGGAGTTACTTATTGCTTAAGCTGACACTAAATCAGCTGCCAAATTGAGTATGTTAATCAAGTATGATGGATAGTTATCACATGCTGTGGGGAGCCAAGACTCGCTGCATTCTGAGCTGGGGGGATGTTGCCACCAGATGCTTCACTACAGTGACACTGAGACCCACAGGGAAAGGGGGACTATAGGTTTGCATCTGCAAGTAAAAGAGACCCTTCTAATGGCCAAAGGGCCATAGGAGATGGTGCTATGTGGGATCAAGCCCATTCAGTTTCAAGGCAGGAGGAGGAAGAGCTGAATAAACCTCTTGATTCGTTCCCTTTTAAGTGAGCTCTGTTCCTTAGAGGGATTCACTGGGGGCATGTTACGAACCAAGAAGGAGGGTGATGAGGTGTTTGATGTGGTAAACACACACTCCCAGTCAGAGAAGCACATGTCTGTTTAAGAAAACAACACGTTTTCAAAACAATTCTCCCCTGACTGAATTAGGTAGCAAGTGCAAGGGTTCCACTTCTCTTCCACTTCTGAAAGCTGAATTACTAACAGCCTCAATATTTGTATTGAATCACAGTTCTTTAAGACCATTTCAGCCCACCAAGAACCAAAAGCATGCACCTCTACGCATTTATAAGGGAGATACTCCCTCTAGGTTCATTTCCAACAGCCACTTCCAAGACTGGCTCCCCAAATGGCCAACTTTTCCAGCAGAAGTGCTTCCTGCACGCCCATCTGCTCGCTTTGTTCAGATAAACAGGCGTCTGTCCTGCTAGCCTCGTGGCACTGACTTCTCTCTGCTGCGTGCATGGCTAGTGGGGATGCCCTGCAGAACCTACTGTGAGCGTGAGTCACGGGGAGGACCCAGCTGGATAGCTAGAACCCTGTTTGGGTTTATGAATTAGCAGGATGGGGGAGAGGTTTTTTTTTTCCTCTTTTAAGCCAATCCATGAAGCAAGCCCAACATGGAATTACTGAGTCAGTACACATGAACAGGCAGCCTGTCGTTTTTCAGAGTCAATTCTATGACTCTAGCTGAAAATACCAAGCTGTAAATGAACAGAGAGACTGAAATCCATCCCCCCCAGTTGCTCTGAAAGGTGGTTTCACAGAACGTGAAAGGATGGATCAGATTGGCAGCGTGCAGAAAGCTACTGCTGCTGCTGTACATGCTACTGGTCAGCAGATAAACAACAAAATCCCATTTCCAGGGCTGTGAAGCCAGCAGTAAATTTACACACCCATCTTTTTAATAGCTTTGAAAAATAAAGGAAAACAAGGCACAGTCGTTTCAAGCTCCATTAGAAACGGAGTGAGAAAAATCAATGTTTGACAAATAGGAATGGACAAATTCTGGATAAGGAAATGGTTCTAAGCTTTTAGAAACGTATGTGGTTTTGAACTGGCACTCGGATAGTGAGCAAACAAATGTCTTTGAAATACCTATGCACTTTAATGGCAGTTGCTGTTAAAATATATTGAGAATCCATCATTAAAGCAAATGGGACAAAGTTCTCGTTAATAATTACTATGTCGCTCAACCAAATGTACCAGTAGTGGGGCTAGTTCTGCAGTCCTTGCTCAACACATCTGTACCATCAGTTCCTTACTGGTAAAAGCCTGTTTATGATTGTTCCCAGTTAGCTATTTAAGCTTTAAATGCATACTTCAATTAGGAATGTATTCTGTCCATGTGAACTGATCATGGACTCGGGCTAATTTAGGTTGGAAAGAATCCCTGGAGGTCACCGAGCCAACCTGCTGCTCACAAAATGTAAAGTGAGATACAGAGAGGGTGCAGGGCTTACTTTAGGGGTGCAGGGGAAGGGGATCAAGAACTGTATCATATTCCTGACCCAGCATCATATCCTCCCAGCTACAGCCTGCAGTTACTATGCAAAAAATGAAGCCTGGCTGCTCATTGGTGACACCTGAACTGTGACAACTTGGATTTCCAGGAGCAGCGATCCTCCTCGTTGCCAGAGACACACTGAGTAACACCACCTGCCATGGGAAATTTCTCTCCATGCCCTGGCACCCAACACTGCCAGCCTCTGAGCTGATCCTTGCAGCAGCATCCTGCCTGCCTTCCCCAAACTGTCATTCCCAAAGCAGCTCCAGGTGGGCTGTAGACAGCACAACTTTCTTCATTTCCCCAAAGGCTGTGACTGCACCATGTGCTATTCTTGTCAGCTCTCCCCAAACCATTCCTTATTGCCCAATATGCCTAATGAAGTTCAGATCACTGGAGTAAGCACTACAGTAAGTTACAAACAAGGCTGTGAAGCATGCTGCAAGATTTTCCTCTTTATTTCACTCCTAGTTGTGGGAGACTCACTATGGGGCTTTTCTTCAGCTCCTTGACATCTACACAACAATTGTCCTGCAGCACACAGTCCTCAGCGTGCTGCTTCCTCACCGTGTTTGCCTTTTCCTTTAGGAAGTCAGCAGAACACCCCTTGGGAAGAACTTGTGCTGCAGCACTTTGCAGGAAGCACACAGCGTGGCACATCTGCTCCCTGTCCTACAGCCCAGGTGTCTCTGGTTTGCCAGCACCACATTCCAACAAAGCAGAGCCTTCTGTTGTTTCCTATAGCAAAGCTCCATACAGAACCTCCTGGATAAAAGGCAGTTATGTGTTACTTGTAAATCAAACAGCCTTGGATTAAGCCAAATACAGACTTTGATCCAGTTTAGTCCCTTATTCTCATGTCAGAGAAGAGCCTGACTGCCTTTTTGTCCTTTCCTGAGCTCCAGCCCTCAGTCTGAGGGGTGATTTCACCACCACCGGAGGCAGTTGGTGCCGTGAGGCTGTCCAGCGATCCCGCTCTGCGGGGGGATCTTTAGGTGCTCCCTCTCACCCCCCTCCCGGGGTGAGCACAACCCCTTCCCTTTGCAGCGCCCAAAATAGGCACGCTGGTATGTCAGTGGCGAACAATGGGGTTCGGCAAACAATCCCCACGGCTGCGGCCGCTCTGAATCCCGGGGCTGAGTCGGAACCCGGGGGCGGAGTCATTCCCCTCCCCTCGGCTGCCGCTCCCCCGTGCGGGTGGCAGAAGCGCGGCACTGACGCTCCCTGTCTGTCTGTCTGTCCGTCCCCTGCAGCCTGCCTGCTCCAGGCCGAGCTGGTGAATTACGAGCGAGTCAAGGAGTACTGCCTCAAAGTGCTCCAGAAAGAGGGCGAGAACTTCAAAGCGCTCTATCGGTCGGGAGTGGCCTTCTACCACCTGGGTGACTTCAACAAGGCCCTCTACTACCTGAAGGAGGCGAGATCCCGCCAGCCGACAGGTACGGGGGCCAGCGGGGACGTGGCTGCGCGTCGGGTGCTCCTGCCTCTCTTTTCTTGAGGCGTGGTCTGTCCCTTCCGCGGGGGGGAGCACGACTCCCCCTGTCCTCCGA